CATTATCGTTTGCGGCTGTGTTTACTTATTCTTCCTGAAGCCCTCTGCCATCGCGTCGCTTGCAACCTGTTTGCATCAGGTCGTCGGAACATGGGCACGCTTCGCACAATTGCTCGTCAAGGTGGCCCTGCTTCGGGATTTGCTTTGTCAGTATTCGTTTTCGCATGTCCTCGAATAGTTCAGCACGAGGCCCCGAGGCCCTGATTCTCTAATTTGTAGCACTCCAGTCATCCGAAATCTTCCCTGGGCAAGGCCAAGCAAATTTCAGCAGAGAAGCAGGCAGAGCGCATGCCGATGCAAGAGTTGGTGCAGTTGTCCAACAGATCTTAGCAGACGCATGCGTGGGTGAGTGCCTGGAACTAAGCTTGATACGGTGTCCACCGTTTACTTTTAATGTTTTTGTTGTGGTGGAGGGTGTGTTTAGAGTTTAGAGGGATTTCGGGCTTGGGGTGATTTTTAAGGATTGTACAGGGTTTCCTCGAATCTTATTGTCGGGGTTGTTCGGGGATTTCAAGTTTTGGGGGATTAAGGATTTGAGTTTTTTGTTTGGGGCGGTTGGGGCTTAGAGTCTGAAGGTCAGGATATTCGGGTCCGTCAAGAGCTCTTGGGTTCTCCGACTGCTTTTGGCATCGGATTGTCGCTAGCATGATTCGGCATAGGGATCCTCAAAGTCAAATGAGTTCGGCATGAGGCTTGGTCTTGTGCTATCCGCTATCCTTTCCGAGTATGAGGCTTGAGTGTTGTTTTGTTAGAAAAACATTTTGAGTTCGCTCAGACAGCCTCCGATCTTGGTGTGATCGCATCCAAACCCCCAGCGAGTTCAAACATGTTTCGTGAGTGCCGGTACGACCTTCAACAGTCCTGAAACGAACCTGTGGACCAGTTCAGTTCAGACATGTTTCCATGAGGTTTGACACGTAGCGGATCAATGTCACGAAAGCTCGCGCAGCAGAGCTTGAGTTTAGTTTTTTGCAGGGAGGCAGTCCAGGGCCAGAAACCAGCGTATTGTTCATAGTATCAGTTTGGGGAGGGAGGAGGAGAAGGGGGGGGGGGGGGCGAAAAGTGAACGGTTCATACGCTTCTCTGGTTTTGGGATGGGGGGAGGGGGGGGAGGCTAAATTGATTATATCAATCTATAGAACTCATCCGCAGCGGCCTCCTCCGTGACTGCTTGCGCAATGTGTCCAATATTTTGACGAGTAGTTGGGAGCACTCTGACCGATCTGCTGCTGCGGCTGCTCCTACTACTACTACTACTACTACTACTACTACTACTACGCCAACAAGAGCAGCAGCACCACCAACAACAATGTCACCAACAGCCACAACAAACCACAGACAGCAAACAAACAAAAACAGCTACGACAAACAACTCAGATGGTAGCTTTGGTTGCCTGAAGGGCCTACATTATCAACAAGCAACAACCTTTCAACAACAAGCAACAACCAGCAATAAGCAAGAAGCAAGCAGCAGCAGCAGCAACAACAACAACAACAGCAACAACAACAACAACAACAGCAACAATAACAACAGCAACAACAACAACAGCAACAACAACAACAACAACAACTCCGTGCCTGCTTGCTCCATATGTCCGATGTTTGGAAGCTTGGCAATTTTTGCCCGATTACGTGATACAAGCATCCTGCTCCTGCTGCTGCTCCTCTGCTCCTCCTCCTACTACTACTACGACGACGACCACTACTACCACCACCACCACCACCACCACGACGACGACTACTACTACTACTACTAGCCACCC